GTAGGGCCTCAAGATCTTCTGTAGGTGGCAATGACCGCTTGTGTTATTCCTTCCTACCCTGAGGTACCTTTGCTCTCGAGATGACCTCAGAAAGTGATTAGGGTAGGCAAGCTGAGGCTATAAATCCATAAACTTGGCTGGCTCAGCCCAGAAGGGAAAAGGCAACTCCTGTCTCCTACTCAGCGACCCACTCACTGTCACCCAGGTCCAGGCCCAACACCCACCTCTCCCAACCCCACCCCCATCTCTGCCTTGCTCACTTCTTCAGAATCTCCTGCTTTTTCTGCTCATCCGAGGTGGGCAGCCCCATGGACTTCTGCCTCTGGTCATACATCATCTTTTCCACCATGCTGCGGGTCTCACTGTCCAGGTCTGACAACTAAAGGCAAGCAGAAACAGGGACAGGTGAAGCTCTGGGACCACCTATGCCCTCACCTCCCAGCTGAAGCCCTCCCGCCCCCCACAACCAGCCAGGGCTCACCTTGGAGTTCTCAGGGTTGATCTTCTTGGTATTGATCTCAGGGTCACTGGACACTAAGCGGCTCCACCACTCCATCTTGTTGATCTGTGAGGAGGGGAACCGCCGGGGGACTGGAGGTCGTTCCCTCTGTGCCTTAGGATCCACCCCTCAACCTTTCCAGGACCCAACTCGCTCCCATCCACATCCTGCATCGGGAACCCACAAAGACCTGTGTAGGGACCTAGGGTGCAGATGGGCAAGGCCTCTGCCCTCCCCAGTGGCTGGGGGAAATGGACAAGACGGTCACAGATCAGCGTCATTGGGGCAAAAATCAAGCACGGGGAGCTACTCATCCAGGGCAGAGAGCGAGAAGTTAGAGCAGCACCTGGGCTGGGCCGGAGGGGGACACAGTACACCTGATGAAAAAGCAGGGCAGGGATTCCAGCTGGGAGGAAAATCAAGTACAAGGGCACAGAGAGGTGACAGAGAGGCAGGTAGGCTAGGACAGGCCTTAGGGAAGCCTTCCTGGGACCCATGACACTTTAGAGACACATTTATTTACATTACGTGTACTGCCCCATCTCTGAGGGGAATGACCGGAGGCCTTCTGAGGGCAACTCGCTACATTTTGTCCCCTGCTCTCTCCCCAGCATTTAGAACACCCTGGCATGTAGTAGGTATTCACATATTCGCTGAACCGAATGCATGTACAAACCAAAGGAAGATGGTTTGGTCCCAAAGAATTTCCATCTTAATTCCACCCCAACCTAGAGAGTAAGGCTGGCAGATCTCTGAGTTGCCCTTTTCCTGACTCTAAAATGGGACAGACCTACATTAAAAATATTGGGCAGACTAAACATGTCTGCCAGACTCCCCCACATGGTCCCTAGGTGAATGAGCAGACACCCGCCCTCCTTTTTCCATCAAGACACAGAGGAGGCCAGGCTGCTCGCACCTTCTCCAGATGCACCGTCACCACCTTGCCGTCCTCGATGAGCCATGAGCTCTCCTCCACCTTCACCTCGTTGTACAGCTCCCCGTCAATGACTGCCGGCTGTCCCTTGAGGCCCACCCGCAGGTGCCGCCGATGGATGTCCACCACCACATCCTTCCCCTTCAGCCGGAAGTTCACATGGAAGGGCAAGGCCAGCTGCACAAGGCAGGAGAAGTCAGGAGGAGCCCCAGGCTGGCTCCCTAACCTCCCAACCCTCACCCCAGTCACTCACGTCCAGCTCGGACAAGGTCTGCGTCCAGCGGTAATTGGGCAAGTCGGCCCCATTGCCAAGGTTAGGCTTCAGTTTCCCTTTGTCTTTCTCGTCCTCCTCCTCCTCGTCCTCCTCAGCCTCCTGCTCACAGTTGGGGTGCTCAGCTACTTACCTGACAGACACAGACTGCACCCCACTGAGCCAGGCCCAGGGCTGGCACTAGGCATACAGCCGCAAGATGAAACAGACCCGGTCCCTGCCCACTCCATGGCCCACTGGGAGCCAATGGTTACAAAATGGTTCTGATCTCTGCCCGAGAGGAGCAGGAGGCCATGTGACAAAGGACACAGCTGGGGAACAGTGACAGTCAGAGATAGACCCATAGAACCTAGCTGGAGATTCAAGCCAAAGGACTTGGAAAGAAAGCCCAGCCCAGAACAGAAGGTCACAGGGTAGCCATGAGCATGGTTGTTCTAAACAAAACCAGGCTGCCCGATGATCAATTCTCTTCTTCTGTGTCTGTAGGGCTGAGACACCAAGTGTCAGACCAGAAACTCTGGAGAGCCAAATCAATGTCCCAAGGAGTGTTTGGGAACTGGACTTGCATCACAGGGAGGAGCTCCGAGGGGTATATCCCCTAGATGTATCAGAGCAGTAACCCCCCCAACAGGGCCAGGCTGGGCACGGAGCCCCCAGCCCAACCCAAATGATACCTGTCCAGGCACTGCCCTCTGGCTCTTGGGCTTTCCTTCCAAGGCTTTAAGGCCAGCGGGTTGTTTCTTTTAAACCTGGTCCTGTGGTCCAATGTCTATGAGTGAGATCTGGAGCTTTGGGGAGGACCCCCAAAGCTGAGGGAGAGGGTATAGGGGGAGGCATTCCAGAGACAGAGAAAGGCCAGAAAGTGCCAGGAAGTTCCCAAGCCCTGACGAGCCTCAGGCACCCCCAAGGCCTCTCACCTGCTTTCCCGGGGAGCCGAGACTGCCGTTCTTGAGCTGGGCCTCGTGATTCTCTGCATCCTTTTTCTGTGGCAAAAGGCACAGCAGTTGGCAAGAGAATCCTTGCTGCCAGTGCCCATGGGGAGGGCGTCAGGAGTGGGGAGGCCCGCGCATACCTGGTCAATCTCCAGCTGCAGCCTCTCTGCCTCCTCATCTGTCAGCTCCTTGATCTGGGGCCCAGAGCTCTCGGACTTGGCCTCCTTGGCCAGCCTGGCTGCCCGCTCTGCCTTCTCCCGCCGGTCAGTCTCCTGCCGAGCTCTCTTCTCCCGCCGGGCCTTCTGTGCCAGCTGGTTATGGTGGTTGAAGGTCTGTGTGATGAGCTGGGGAAGGGAGAGAAGGCGATGGGGCACTGGGGCTCTGGCCGGTGGCCCAACGCCTGGAGTCCAGTCCCACCTTTATGCGTTGGATGCCTGGGCACGGCACTGTACTCGACCTCAGTTCCTCATCTATAAAATGGGGATCAGAGCTATTATGACAATACCTGCAAGTCCCTGGCGGGACAAACAGTGGCTATTTAAAAAAACAGTCTAGGAGGCGCCTGGGTGGCTCAGTTGGTTAAGTGTCTGCCTTCGGCTTAGGTCATGATCCCGGAGGTCCTGGGATGAGCTCAGCAGGAAGCCTGCTTCTCCCTCTCCTTCTGCCTGCCGCTCTCCCTGCTTGTGCGCTCACACTCTCTCTGTCAAATAAATAAAATCTTTAAAAAAACAAAACAGGGGCGCCTGAGTGGCTCAGGCCACGACAAGAAAAACAGTCTAGTGACTAAAAACACGGACAGGGAAGGCGGACAGGTTGCGTTCTCATCCAGGCTGTTGTATTTTTGGCAAAGGACCTAGCCTGGAAAGGCTTCAGACTTCTCATCTGCTCAGAGTCCTTACCGACAGAGCTGGGCTGTTAGAAGCTGAACTCCTGAGCTCACAGGCCCGCGCTGCCCCACTGACTGCTCTCTTCCCCACCGTCTCCAGGACAGCAGACCCAGTGCTGCCTCCCTCAGCACCGCCCCGACCTGCCACATCAGCAGGGAGCCAGGGAGAGCTTTCTTGAGCGAAGAGGCTAGAACCTGCCCTCGGCCTGCAAGCTATCAGTGTCGAATCCCTCCTCTTCCACTGTGCCTCCCCAGAACACTTCCAACTCACATCCAGCTGCCACTGTCACTATCTGGCTGTGCAGCCTTGGACCAGCGAAGGACTCTGACACTTTTTAAGCCCGATCTTCTCACCTGTCATGAGGATCGAACACGACAGACGTTTACAGAGGCTGGCACGGTCCCGGCCAAATCACAGCCACATACAAAGTGTTAGCTTCCCAACATCCCTTGCCCGACTCAGGCTAACCCAGTGTCAGCTGGTTAGGGGTGGAACAAGTACATTCCATGCTATAAAAAAACAATGGGAGAGATGGCTTACCTGTTTATACCGACAGGTCTCCAAATGTGGCTCCACTCCAGACCTACTGAATCTGGGGTGGGGCTCAGCATCCTATTTTTTTTTTGTTTAAGATTTATTTATTTGAGCGAGAGCGCGCACACAAGCACGTGAGCATAGGTAGGGTGCGGGGGGAGATAGGCAGAGGGAGAGAGAATCCTGAAGCACACTCCCCACTGAGCAGGGAAACTGATGCAGGAGCCAGAGTTCCCATCCCAGGAGCCAGAGTTCCAGACCTGGGCGGAAATCAAGCGTTGGCTGGGCCACTTAACTGACTGAGCCACCCAGGCACCCTGACAGTCTGTATTTTTAACAAGCCTTCCTGCCCACTTCTCAAGCAGACCAGAAGAGTCATACCTAGACAGCAGTTCCCAGACCACTCTTACCTGTGTGACCCTGAGGTCATCACTCTGTGCTTCTATTTCATTATTTTCAAAAGCAATCTTGCATAAGCTGTTCTTTGCCTAGAATGTCCTTGTCCCTACTTCCAGGTCATCTGGCCATCTCCTGCTCACCCTCTAGGACCAGCTCCAATGTCTCCAGAGCCGCACCTCCTTACCTTCAGCAGGCCCAGGACACATCCAACTCAGGAGACCCAACCGTGTCCACCCCCACACCTGGAACAGGCCTCTCGAGGCACTCACAACAGGATCAGTGGTCAATTTACCATCTTCTAAACATCTCTAAGCCAGAGCGGGAGGGAGGGAAGGGTCTCCAAGAGCTGAGAGGCCTGCATGGGGCTCAGGGTCACCAAAGTAACCCATGGGCTCCTAGACCTAGGTTCTGGCAAATGTCCCATGGCTTCTCATTTATTTGGTGCCAATTCCTCCTGCTACCTTGGAACTCCCAACTTCATGCCATACTGGGGTAGTTCCATCCTCTGCAAGGCTAACGGGCACCAAAAGCATCCCCTAAATCAAATGGGTTGACAAAATGGAGCGCATGTGAAACAGAAATGAGTCACCCGAAGGCCATTCCGCTGTCAATAGAATCAGTCATGAGACAATTACGCCAGCGGAGGCTGTTCCACCACAGGGCCTTGGTCCCAAATCCCTAATCGGGAAGACCTTGAACTCAAGCCATTTGCCAACCAGTGGTCACGGGGAGGCAGGCGCAGGGCCCTCCCCTCTCCCAGCTCCAGTGAATCATGTTACATCCCATTTGTCCTGTTCCTTCCTAACTCCTGGAGGTTAGGTGAGGGCAGAGCTGAACCACCAGGCACAGTCAAGGCCAATCACAGCAGACTCTGACCCCCTCCTCCCAATCTCCTCCTATCAGCTTTACCCAGGCCCAGCCCCAGGCAGAGACCCCTGAGGGCATGCAGCCTACTCTGCAATGCCAACTGGCAGGCCATCACAGAGCCAAGCATCAGTCACTGGACACATCTTCGGGAACCACAACCCAGCAGAGTGGGTAAGGGATGAAGACGGTTGTACTAGTTCTAGAAGACAGGCCCCATACCCAAACACAGGCTTTCCCTGACCTAGGCTAGGTAATTGGGGAGTAAAGAGTGGTTTCCCCAAGCCTGGCCAGGAGAGACATGGCAAAGGGGGGGGCGGGGGCAGTGTGTGTGTGTGTGTGTGTGTGTATAACACACACGAGAGACAACACACTCCTGTTCTAGAACTTCATATAAATGACCTCATTCAATAAGTACTCTTAAGTGTGTGTCTTCCTTTAATAGGCTGACCAATATTCCACTAGATCAATTACACGTATACATGACACTCTTTACTCATCCACCAGCAGAAGCTTGAACTGCTTCCACCTCTCGGCTCTTGTGCACAGTGCTGCTGTGAACACGGGGGTACAAATCTCTCAAGAACCTGCTTTCAGTTCTTTTGGGTATGTACCTAGAAGCTGGATCACTGGACCATACAGTAGTTCTATTTTTAATTTTTGAGGAAGCACCATGCTGTTTACCATAGCAGCTGTACCACTTTGTATTCCCAACAATAATGCACAAATGTGCCAATTTCTCTGCACCCTTGCCAATATGTGGGATTTTTCTGGTTTTTTTTGTTTTTTTTTTTTAATAGAAGCCATCCTAATGGGCATGAAGTGATATTTCATCATGGTTGATTTGTATTTCCCTGATTAGTGACATTGAGCATCTTTTATAATAAAAAATTGGGGAGCGCCTGGGTGACTCAGGTTAAGCCTCTGCCTTCAGCTCAGCTCATGATCATGATCTCAGGGTCCTGGGATCGAGTCCTACATCAGGCTCCTTGCTCAGCAGGGAGCCTGCTTCCCTGCCCTCCCCTCCACCTGACTCTCTGCCTACTTGTGATCTCTGTCAAATAAATAAAATCTAAAATAAAAATAAAAAAATTTTAAAGAGCCACAATAATTCACTTTTACCAGAAATATCTGAAGATTACCCTTTTTTCCACATCCCTGTAAGCAATGCTTTTTGTGGGTCTTTTTATGCTTTCATCAGCTTGGCAGGAAAAAAAGGGAATCTCACTATGTCTCCTAGATTTCCTAGATTACTAGGAAATATGCTCTTTGGATCTTCTCCTCTTGGAATTGCCTAATTTTCTGCTTATCCTTTTCTTGTCAATTTATAAGTTCCTGCATATTAAATTAGTCATTAAATTTTCTGTCCTCTGTAGTGAACATTTTTTCCAAATCTACTGTTTTCCAATTAACTTTATATGTCTCTTTTGCCAGACACACACAGTTTTCAACGTTTGAAGAGGCAACAAGCTACCTTTTCTTTTATAGCTTCCAGGTTTCTAATTTTGCAAGGCCTCTCCCACACAAGATCATATGGTTTCCTAACTTTCCTTACCGGACTCTTCTTGGTCTGCAATTTATTTTTACGTATGAGTGAAACAGATGGTATACTTGTAGTTCTTTACAGATAAATAGCCAGTTGTAGCAGCAACGACATATTCAATCATCCTTTGCCTACAGAACTGAATTACTACATCAGACGTGTACTGAATTCTCATATGCTAGACTTTTTCTAGGTTCTCTATTCTAATTCACTGTCCCACTTTTCTCTTCCTATGTCAATAACACACTGATTTGATCATTACGGCTTTCCTCAAATCCACACTCCCTTATCCTGAATTCCTAGCCCCCAAAGCTATAAGAACCACGGAAAGTGTTTTTGGACTTACAAGTTTGTGGCATGAAGGTATTTATAGTCTTCCTATCTCCCACTTGGTATGAATATTGATACACATTTCTCTACAGAAATACTAATGCTTCATTATAGGATGCCTCTAACTCACGGAGCATATGTTACATACATTATCGCACTGTAACAAATTACTCTGTGTATAGTATATGCCTTGTATCACCTCCTAAAATCCAAAGAATTCCAAATCCCAAAATACATCTGGCCCCAAGGGGTTCAAAAAAAGGAGCACGGGGGTGCCTGGGTGGCTCAGTCAGTTAAGCATCTGTCTTCGGCTCAGGTCATGATCCCAGGATCCCAGGATTGAGCCTCACAATGGGGAACAGGGAGCCTGCTTTCTCCCTCTCCCTGCCACTGCCCCCGCTTGTGCTCTTTCCCTCTCGCTGTCAAATAAATAAATACAATCTTTAAAAAAAAAGACCATGAACTTGGTGCGCCTGGGCAGCTCAGCTGGTTGGGAGTCAACTCTTGATTACAGCTCAGGTCATGATCTTGGGGTCGCAAGATCAAGTCCCGCATCAGGTTACCCACTGAGTAGGGAGTCTGCTTCTCTACCTCTTCCTCTCCGCCCTCTGTTCCTTCCTTCGTGCACTCTCTTTCTCTCAAATAAATAAATCTTAAAAAAAACACACCATAAACTTGTATACTCAACACCAGCCACTTCATCCACATGACCTCCTTTTACCCTCACAACAGCCCCATAAGATAAGGATTAAGACCACTTTATAGGGGCACCTGGGTGGCTCAATGGGTTGAGGGCTCTGCTTTCGGCTCAGGTCATGATCCCGGGGTCCTAGGATTGAGCCCCGCGTCAGGCTCTCTGTTCAGCAGGGGGCCTGCTTCCTCCTCTCTCTCTCTGCCTGCCTCTCTGACTACTTGTGATCTCAGTCTGTCAAATAAATAAATATATTAAAAAAAAAAAAAAGACCACTTTACAGTTAAGAAAATATGATTCACCAATGTCACAAAGTTGCTGGGCGGGGAGGTGGGTGATGGACCAGGGACTGGGATTCTAACTCACATCTGCCTGACTCCAGAGCCCATGCTCCTAACCAGTGCACTTGCAAATGATGTAGTTGGTGGCCTGCACACAGTAGGCACGCAATATAAAAGTTACTGTGTTACAAATGGAGACCAGGTGGGAAGGCTGGACAGGTTTTTGCCTGCCCATGAGTCTGACCAATTTCCTGGGGAATAGCTTTGTTTCTAAGGAACAAAGAACCAAGGAGCCCCCATCCTAGGTTAGTCCCCACTTAATGCTCACATCCAGCACACATCCAATGTACGGCAGCTACCATCATCCCCAGACTTTTTTTTTAAGATTTTATTTATTTATTTGACAGAGTAAGAGAGAGAGAGAGGTATCACAAGCCAGCAAGAGGCAGGCAGAGAGAGAGGGGGAAGCAGGCTCCCCACCGAGCAGAGAGCCCGATGTGGGGCCCAATCCCAGAACCCTGAGATCATGACCCAAGCCGAAGGCAGAGGCCTAACCCACTAAGCCACCAGGCGCCCCAAGATGCCACTTTTTAAAAAGATTTCATTTATTTGCAGGGGGGCAGGATAGGGAGAGAGAGTCTGTCAAGCAGACTCCTAGCTGAGCACAGAACCCAATGTGGGCTCCATCTCATGACCCTGAAATCACGACCCAAGCCAAATCCAAGAGTCGTGGACACTTAACCAAAGGAGCCACTCAGGCACCCCAATACCACTTCTTTGTATCACTCACCTCTCTCCTTTCATGCAGCTACCTCTTACTCATCCTTCAAACTTCAAGCACCACTGCCTCAGAAAGTCTCCCTTGAACCCCCATTCTAGGTTAGTCCGCACTTAACACTCCCAGGGCTTTTCCCTAACTCCCATGACTTCCATGTTTTGGGGGCAGGGGCAGGGTGCTACACCGTGAGATCCATGAAAACAAAGACCACATCTGTATTCACCTCTGTAATCCCAAAGGAGCTGGTATAATACCTACCACAAACAAAGCATTAAGTGTCTGATAAATATTCATTGAATGAATGACTATTAGAAGGCAGTCTAGGCCACTGAAAAAACAGGAGGTGTTGAGCTAACACAGAAAGAACACTACAGGTAGGTCCACCTTCTTCCATTTTGCAGACATACAGACGGAAAGAACCACAGTACCAATGGTAAATCAACCAACCCACACAGCTGGGCCAAGATCCCAGGAGTCTCCACTCCCAGGCTATTGTGTCCATAACAGAGTAGCCTCAGATCATCAAGATACAGTATAGAACATTCCAGCTTGTCAGATCCCTGAAGCCACAGAAAGCAGTTTGCAAAATGTCTCCTCCTTGTCACCATGTCTCTGTGAGTGAAAACAAGTAACAAGGTCCTAAAAGTCCTTCAGTGAGGTAACATCTTCATGACTTACCAATCTTCAAAAATACAGCTATAACCTAAGGAATCAAAAGGAAGTTCAAGGTCTCAGAGCCTGTAGCACAAAGTGCAATACCCAAATCCATGAACTTCGGGTCACAGTGCCTGGGAAGATTGGAACTGGATGGCTTTAAGTTTTCCTGCATTTCTTTTCTTACCCCCCCATTTTTTTTTTTTTTAATTCATTTGACAGAGATCACAAGTAGGCAGAGAGAGAGAGTGGGAAGCAGGCTCCCCGCTGAGCAGGGAGTCCGATGCGGAGCTCGATCCCAGGACCCTGGGATCATGACCTGAGCTGAAGACAGAGGCTTTAACCCACTGGGCCACCCAGGCGCCCCCTGCATTTATTTTCTAAGCTCAATTTCTAACATGCCCACTCTCATCTCAGCTAATCAGATAAAACCTCCTTGATGCAAAAGGAACCAAGAAGTGTGGTGTCAAGGGCAGAAGGCAGTTTTACAACAGAGTCTGGTTCCAACCCTGGCTCTTCTACAGCTTAGCTCAAGACTTTGGACAAAGTCCCACAGCCTGGGTGGCACAGTTGGTTAAGCGTCCACTCTTGGTTTCGGCTCAAGTTGTGATCTCAGGGCTGTGAGATCAAGCCTAGAGGCGGGCTCTGAGCTCAGCCAGGGAGTCTGCTTAAGACTCTCCCTCTCCCTAGGCCCCTCCCCCCAGCTCATGCATGTGCATATGTGCACACTCACTCTCGCTCTCAAATAAATAAATAAATCTTAAAAAAAAAAAAAAAAAAAAAAAAGACAGACTTTGGACAAAGTGCCAAACGCTTTGAGCCAATTTCCTCATTTGCAAAATGGGAATAGTAACACCTGCCCTACTGAAGCCACCAAAGGATCATGGGAAATAGGGGTAGGTAAAGCACCTGGCAAGAAGGGCTTCAGTACATGACAGTTTGCTTCCCTTCCCCAACTCTTCACCCTTGCCATTTTATCTCTGCTGAAGGTTATTACTATGCCAAGGGAAGATCAGGTGAGCTTTACTTCTGAAGAAACAGAGGCTCCAAAAGGACCACAGGCCCCAACACTCACCTTTTCTGCCATTCCTTCTTCTCCTCCAACAAAAAAGTCTGTTTTGCGTCGAAGGAAGCTGAAGAAAGTGTTGACAAGCTGAAAGACAGAAGGAAACTGAAGCTGTGGAGATGCCATATCGGGAGCCCCTCCAGATTCTAGTCCAGGAGGGAGCTCGGGACTGGACTGTTTCACCCTGAGCCTCTCATCTGAGGAGACAGCCTCCCCAACAGGCCCGACCTTAGTGACTTCCACTAGGAAGCCCAACCTTATTCAGATCACCCAAGAGACAGATTTTTCATTTCTCTGTATATGTGTACATGCATTTCACATTCCTTGAGGCTCTAGAAACAGCCTAAGGGTATAGAATACTCCTCTGCATCCAGGGCTTGAAACACCTAGGCCAGGCTTTCCTTCCAGGTACTAAAAAGTCCATCCAGACTGGCACTGCCTGAGTTACCAGGGCAGAGCCAAAAAGAGGGGAGCAAATGAAGCCACTTCAAAGGGTAAAACCAACTAACTCTGGCCAGTTAACCAGAATATTCAAGTGGGTAAGCACACGGGTTGGAGCATCAGACTGATACATATTAGCTGTCATCCTGGGGAAGTTTCTTAACTCTAGAACAGAAATAGCAGCAGGACCTATTTCTAGGGACCTAGTGAGGATCCAATGAGATACTGGAGGTGAGGGCCTGAAGCAGTGTCCCACCCTGAGCAAGAGACCTCCTGCCAGAGTGTACTCCTCCCACGTAGGTACGATGAACTGTGGCTTCTTCAACCCCAAAGCTGGGCACCAGAACTGGCTCAGCGCATATGCTCACTAAAACTTCTGCTGAATGAAAAGATCTAGTGGTGACCTAGAGTTAGCATATACAAGCCCTTTTATTTGCTCAAATGAGTGGTTCTAAGGCTGATGCTAGAACTTAATCTTCATGGTTGAATTTCTACTTCTAGATTTTTGATTCACTCAAAAACGCACTCCCAGATCCAATTTAGGATCAACAATTTAGGAGGATGGGGGAGGGAATCTTTACACACATGCAGATTAATAACTCTCTTCCCAATTCAAAGGGCTTAGGAGTCCTTGGTTTCCACAGGGACCTGGGTAAAAGAATGGGAATGGAAAGCTCAAAGAAAACATGTTCCCAGTGAGATAAAGAATCAGCAATAAACTGTGGAAAGCAAGCAGGCCTAAGGAATGTGGTCCTAAGTCAGGAACACGGTGGGTGATTTTGAGCAAGTTCCTTTGGTTTCTTTTCAGAATGAGAGTTCTTGACAGGCTTTCCTACTTCTAACTTTCCAGGTTTTTGGTCCAAAAAACCAACTCCAGAATCTGTAGCAGTTGGTCTGTGTGTTACTGTGTGGTCAGTATGCACGATTATGCTTTTGAAAAGCTCTTTTCAAGCTCCATCAGGGCAAGGACAGACTTCTGCTCGCATCTATATACCTAGGACCCAGTCCGGGGAGTGTCTGGCACATTACTGACAATTCATTACTGTCCTTCACTTCAAGACACTACTCTCCTCACTACTCAGAAAATATGAGATTCGTAGCTCTGTCTCAAAGACAAAGGAACTGAGCCTTGCAGATGTGCAAAGGTCCCTTGTGGGTAGGTGGTGGAAACAAAGTGTAAACCCAGGCTTCCTATTCCCCATTCAAGGCCTGAAAGGACCACGTGCTAACATCACCCCCCCACCTCAACCCCACCCCCCACACGCACATTCGTCGGCTCGGTCCCGGTCTTGATAGATGCAAATCCCGAAGTCTAGGATGGTTCATCCTAAGAACTGCTCTTCGGGGGCGGCCATCAGAGAGAAAATGAGGCCGGAAGCATGTGTAAGACTGGGGGACCAGCTACGGGGGGCGCTGCGGGTTTTCCAGGGCCGCGTTCCGAGACGCAGGAGTTGCTAAGACTCCTTAGCCGAGTCTTAGTCAGTTGCTAAGATTCCTGCGCGGCGCCGGGGGCCTGAGACAGAAGTGCGGTGGGGAGGCCAGACCGGAAGCTGGGACATGGTGAGAATGGAGGAGGATCACAAGAACCCGCGAAGCCCAGGGGTGGATCTCGGCCCGCGAAGGCAGGGAAGTGGAGTGAGGGTGTCTAGGGCCGCGCGGGTGGGCGAGCGCCGCGACACCAGGCCAGGCCGAAGCCGCGCGGGCCGTTACCTCCTGCACGCCGCCCTCGTGCTGCTGCGCCATGGCCAGCAACATGCCGTCGAACCGCTCCTCCTCCTGCTCTCCGCCCATTGCGCCTGCCACTAGCCAAGCTCCGAGATCCTAGCACCTCACTCGCGTCCCGCGCTCTCCCGGCTCCTTCGTGTAGCGTCCGGCCCAACCGCTCCAGTCGTCCGCCTTCCGCAGCGGAGCCGGAAACACGCACGCGCCGCACCGCCCAGGCCCGCCTTCTCGCCCTCTCTTCCCGCCTCCCTCCCGGCCCGCGACCAGTGACTGCGCGGCAAACAGCCCGCTTCACCCACCATTGGTCGACTCTCTGAGCCAATCGACGAGCGCGTCCAGGAGGCGGTGGGCGGAGCCCAGGATCCCGGAGTTTGGCGTGAGTTGCTATGGTCACCAGATGATTGGAGCCTTCCAGAAAACCCTGAGCTGCGTTCTGGTGGAGTTGAAAAAAGGACAAACGGCGCTTCTGCCTCGAGAGTAATTTACCATTTTATAGAACGGTGGAACTGAAAATGTCTTTAGTTTTCTCCTTCAATGTTTCCATGAGGCAATGGAGGCCCAGAAAGAAGGCGCTTGTCTGAAGGATAGCCTACCTCTGTCATCATCGCCAGGACCAGCTTCTTGGAATTACAAACTGTAGATTGGCGCGGGCCTCGGTCTTGGAAGTGCTCCGTGCTTGGTTTTAATGTTCTTCTGATGCAGTGCTGAAAAATCTTAATTTTTTAACAAAAGACAACACGTTTTGCACTGGGCTCTGCAAATTATGTAATGGTTGCTGTATATGACCTTCACTTTTTTTTTTTTTTTAAGATTTTATTTATTTATTTGACGGATAGAGATCACAAGTAGGCAGAGAGGCAGGCAGAGAGAGCGAGAGGAGGAAGCAGGCTCCCCGCCGAGCAGAGAGCCTGATGCGGGGCTCAATTCCAGGACGCTGGGATCATGATCTGAGCTGAAGGCAGAGGCTTTAATCCACTGAGCCACCCAGGCGCCCCTGACCTTCACTTTTATTAATGTGGGGGACATGTCCCAGCTATCTAAGGCCAACCCCTCCACATTTGCAGTGAATTTAATCATCTTAGTCTTGTTATTATCCCCCCCTTTTTTTTTTTAATTTAAAATTTCCTGCATCACAAATTTCTTCTGGATCATTCCTTTCAACTTACAAACATGCTCTAATGTCATTTATTTTTTTTTACTATTCTGTGACCCCCTTTTCTCTTTCTACCACCACAATTTTCAGTTCTCGTTTTCAGCAAAAGTTGAAAACATTGCTATACTTATCTTTTCCCTTTGTTACCTTCCATCTTTTCTCGATGTATTCTAATTAGTTATTTCTTAAAAGACTAGCCAAGGGTACAATGACCTTGTGTTGCCAAAGCCCATGGACCACTATTATTTTCCTCAACTTCTCAGCTGCATTTGACTTAGTTTACCCCTTCTTTTAGGAACACTTTTTGGAGGGCGCCTGGGTGGTTCATTTAGTTAAGCATCTGCGTTTGGCTCAGGTCATGGTCCCAGGGTCCTGGAATTGAGCCCCTGGTTCAGGCTCTCTGCTCAGCAGGGAGTCTGCCTCTCCCTCTACCCGTTTCTCCCTCTCCCTCTGCCTGCTGCTCCCCCTGCTTTTGTGTTCTCTCCCTTGCTACCAAATAAAACCTTAAGAAAGAAACACTTTTTTCCCCCTTTAGGCTTCTGATAATGGAATTGTGTTCCCCAAAATTCATATGTTGAAACCCCCAATGTGACATTTTAGAGAAAGGGCGATTTAAAGAGGTAATTATGGTTAAATGAATTCAAAAGGATGGGGCCCTAATCACAACTGAAAGAGTGTCCTTACAAGAAGAGGAAGAGAGGGGCGCCTGGGTGGCTCAGTGGGTTAAAGCCTCTGCCTTCGGCTCAGGTCATGGTCCTAGTGTCCTGGGATCGAGCCCCACATCGGGCTCTCTGCTCTGCAGGGAGCCTGCTTCCACCTCTCTCTATCTGTCTGCTTCTCTGCTTACTTGTGATCTCTGTCTGTCAAATAAATAAATAAAATCTTAAAAAAAAAAAAAAGAAGAAGAGGAAGAGATCCCCAGGAAATCATGGGTACACAGAAGAAAGGCCATGGGTGGCAGCCTTCTGCAAGGCCAAGAGAGAGGCTGTGTGAAAAAGCAAACACTTGATCCTGGACTTCCAGCCTCCTGGACTGAGAAAATACATTTCTGTTGCATAAGTCACACTGTCTGGGCTATTTTGTTATGGCAGCCCTCGCAACCTAATGGAGCTTCTATGTCACCACACTGACCTGGTTTTCTTTCCACGGCACTAACACTTTCTCAGTGTCCTCTTCTACCTAGACTAGTAAATGTTGGTGGCTCTGTCCTTTGCTTTCTCCTCTTCCCTCTCTACACTTTCTTCTTAGGTGATCTCATGATATCTCTGGCCCAGACCTTGCCTGAGCTCGTGGTTCTTCTAACTACCTCCTGGACAACTCCCCTTGATGATTGATAGGTATCTCAAAACTCCCTTGGCTTTGGGAAGGTGAGAAAGTTCTGGAGATACATGGTGGTGGTGGTTACACAACAATGCGAATGTACTTAATGCCACTGAACTGTATACTTAAAAATGGTTAAAATGGTAAATTTAACGTATATTTTACTACAATAAAGAAATTTATAATTTTATGAGACAATATGAAATTTAACTCTGACTAGGTATTTGATTATATTGAAGAATTATTGTTTTAAAAAAACTAACATGGCCAACATCGATATTCTCCCCCCACACACAAATTAATTCCTCCCCAAATCCCCACTGGGTAAGATGGCCCCTTCTAGCACCAATGTGCCCAAGCCCAAAGCTCCACTCATCCACCTGTTTGCACAGGCCAGAATCTAGTCTCATCTAATCCATTAGTAAGCCTTGTCAGCTTTTCCTCCAAACTATATCCTCTGTCCCCTTCTCACCTTGCTGTGTGAAGCAAGGTGTTGTTACTCTAGTCCAAACCAGCATCAACTCTCACATCCTAGCTTGTCCCCCTACCTCCTTTCTTGCCCTTTCTGGTCCATCCTCTACTCAGCAGCCTAAGCAATTCTTCTAAAAGACAAGCCAGAGCTTATTACTCTTTTGCTTAAAATTAGCTCTTATGGATTGCCACTGCATTCAGGGTAAGTTCCAAACTCCCAACCATGATCTCTGAGGAGTCACACCATCAAGGCCCTGTCCACCTCCCTAGATACACTTTGTCCCAGGATCCCCTTCACTCACCAGGCTCCCTCATTGGCTTCTTTCCCTTCCTCCAGTGCTCTGTCCTAGTTCTGAGGCCTTTGCCAGTCAACTTCTTTCTATCCATCAGGTATCAACCAAAATGTCACTTCTTCTGTGAGGCCTTTTACTAACCCTGATGTACAGATTAAGTCCCCACCTCCATGATTCTTGCTTTCAAAATGCCTTGTGCTCATCCTCTGTAATTACTGACTACATTGAAACATACAATTAATAAATTTTGGTTCATCTCCTCTCACTGAAATATAAACTCTATGAAAGCCAGCACCTGCTTGATTCTTCTGAGCATTCAGCTCAGAACCTCAAACATTGTAGAAGCTCGGTAAATAGTTAGGGAATGAATAAGTGGTCTTTGCCTGCTACCATTGAATCTCATTATAGAACTTATCAACAAATACTGGTAAAATTGATCAACTTAAGTGCCCACTACTGTACTGAACACTTGATAAACATTATTTGACTTAACATAATGTTCCTATGTTACTGTCTCCATTTGGGGGGATGAGAAAACAGAGACAGAGAGGTAGTCATGTGCTCAAGTCACACAGCTGGAAGAGTAGAGCCAGGGTTCAAAGCCATGAAGCCAGATTCCAGAGGCCACACACATTACCCACCTCCCCTCAGAGTTCTGCCTCCCTGAATTAGGACTCTGATTTTATAAATCATTCCCAGATGCTTGTCTGATATGACTCCTCCCTGAGAAACCGAGACCTGATCTTGGACCCTGGTGAATTCATTGAAATAATACATGTTTCCTGGGAAGGCCTCTTGGTGACCAGCCAGCAACACCAACACAGGTAGGTGGGTGATCATACCACCGTGGGCTAAGCGCTCTGTTAAGGGTGTGGGCTGGGTGACCTGGGAAGTCAGGAAAGCAGCAATTTAGTCTTCTGCAGAGGTGGAGAGGGAAAAACATGAAGTCTGTGCTAGAGAAATAACATTTGTTCTAAGACCACGAAAGGGGGCTGGGGGCTAACTAGGCAGGTAGGGTAAGGGAAAGGCATTCCAGGCAGGAGGAGCAGCATAGGCAAAAGCTTGCAGGTACAAAGATAGGTGACAAGCCCAGGGAATGAAAAGGTGCTTAGTACTGCCTCTCTGGCTCCCAGTTTTTGTCCTTAACCCAGGCCTCTCTGTCCTAGAATCTGGTAGCTGGCCCCTCAGTTAGTCTGAGGGCTCTGTACACAAGGGGAGCAAACATGGGCACCCCGGCCATAGGATTGCAAAGCATTTTAATATGCATTATCTTATGGAATGCCCTTTAATTTCACAGATGACACCCAGCCCAGTGCCTGACACACAGTAGATGCTCAATAAGCCTCAGTCATTATAATTCTTGGGATGATGATGACTGTTGCTCCTGCTTGGGTAGGAACTCCTTCATCCCTTTGTCGTTTGAGGATTAACTGAGATCACTGCAGTGAAAATACTATGTAAACCAGAGAGTGCTGTACAGGGAGAGCATTGTCAGGAACTTTTCCTCCAGAAAGCCTTCCAGATTCAAGTTACTCTGCCCAGCTGCCCCATTTTAGCATCCCTGTCCATTGTTGATGTGGGTGTCCCACATCCCCTTTTGGAACTACTGAAAGCAGGACTGTCTCTCCCTCCTCAGAATGGGGACCCCTCAGGGCTGGCCTGTGTCTCTCCAACAGACTGAAGACTCCCCCTTGAATGGGGACTCCCGAAAGTTGACCTGTGTCTCTGCCTTCAGACTGAAGGCAGGACCCGAGCAGAGGGCTGCTGATGGGCCATCTCCCCCACAGAGGCCTCCCACCCCCTTGAGTGGATAGCTTCAGTCATGCCCCAGGCCGAGAGAGCCCTGCTGAGGCTGTTCCTTGTCCTCCAGGACCACCACAACTGACACCTTGGCCTTCAGGCCACACACAACACTCAGAAAACACAGTTCTCCACATGCAAACAAAAACAAAC